GATTGCTACCACGAATCCCACTAATACAAAAATATGCGGTTTAACTTTAAAAGATTGCATATTCTGTACATTTGGCATTTCATATGACAATTAATAATTCCCAAGAAAAACTCTTCGTGCACACGGACTAAATTTAGATTTATTCTGTTTTTTACATTTTCTTTTTCATTAAAATAAATATGTTTTTTATTCATTATATTAAAACAACATCATTATATACACTTGTGGATATACATGCTGAGATGAAAAAACTACAACCAACTTCAGACTCCTGTCATTTCCAAGCCACTCGTCCGACAGCTGTTAAAATTATTCCAGTGACAGCTTATTATATTGTTTACAAGCGCACAAAAGCATTCTGGTGAGAATTTTCCGTAGAGCAACATTCGCATGTAACGGTTTCATTGGCCGTTTGAAGGCTATAATTCGTGCCAAAGGTGACCAATTAGAACAAATCTAAACTTATTCTAAAATTGGATGCTATTTCCGACAGTTTTTGCTTTCATTCAATAGAATTAAAAAAAAGTTAAAAATTATGGCGTTTGACTTTGTTGTAGTTTTATATCTCACCCTGTATAGTATAGGTTTTGTTTCTGAGTGGTATATGCATTATTGCAAAAATATTATTGATGGTTAAGAATTTCAAACAAATATCAACATTTCAGATAATTCCATTAAAAAATTACTAAAACACCAAAATACCAAATGTAGGGAGGTACTGTAATTTGAAGCATTTTTGTATATGTGAAATTCATATTCACCGAGAAAAGAGGCAATAAAATCAAAAGTACTGATTCGCAAGCACTGTAATATGGTGGATATTTAAAAATTTAAAATTATACCAACAATTTTAAACAATTACTTTAAAAAGACTCCAATAATCAATATACGCGCTTCCCGCTTTCATTGAGCCTCTCTGATATCACGGACAAATATAGGTAATCTTCGAACTTGACCTAGTTGCAGAAAAACGACAACTCGAATATTGACAATATCGGTATATCATTTAGCTCTTCTGCCATGTTTACGTCAAAACCTTTTGTAGGGTTAACCTACTTTGAGAGGATTTATTTGAAGTATAAGTAATGGATATGACAATTTAATCCAAATCCAATTGGTTAACCCTTTTACATGTAAACGAGGGTTATTCAAACTGTTAACTCTTTATGGGGGAGATTCAGGAACAGTTGGGCAATATTGACCAATTTGTATGTGACCTAACACTGATGGAACTATTACAACCTGCCAGATTTGGGCTAAATCAACTACTTCCCATACTTTATATGACATACGTGCAAATGTGGAAATATGTGTGAGGTAACAGATATAGGGGACCGAAGTATTCCAAAATTTTAATGGATATCGAACATTTTTATCCAGTTTTATGTGAAATCATGAATTTCGATAAATTAAATATTAATATCAGATTTCTCGTTAAGAGAAAGAGCAAGTTGTAAAGAATCGCCGCGTTGTTTCGCAAGGTATGACAGATAAAAGTATTTGAAATTTGTGACTTTTTGAGGGTTTGGTACCAAGAGAGTGTTCGCAGATATATATCGTTTTCACAACAGATCCTGCGTGAGCAAAAATATTTGGATGTGCGTAATTTGAAGAGAGTTGGATGCTTATTTCGCTTTCCTTGAGCGTTTTGTTTTTTTAAAATCTGGAACCCTGTGTGGGGAGATACCAGAAAGAATCGATCTCTACCATCTTTATAAAAGATCTTGTTTTGATCGAAATATTGAAATGTACCAAGTCTGAATGTAATCGGATGTTATTTTCCCGTTTTATGAGCTTCATGGATACTTAAAATGTTGACCCTTTGTGGGGGAGGTACCAGAAGGAGTGGACCGGACCTTGGGTTAATAGAAATATTGTGATGTGTAATTTGAAGATAATCGGACACTTACATCACATTTTATGAGAGTTTTAATTATTCAACATTTTGACACTTATGACCCAGATGACCCAATCTGAATTACCACTAACTCATCTGAACTAACACTGACGAAAATATTAGGATTTGCAAAGTTGGAACAAAATCGGATTATTCTTACTTTTCTGTGCAGGAAATCATTTTCTTTTAAAGTGTTAACATTTTGTGGGGGAGGTACCAGAAGGAATGGACCGATATTGCCCATCTCCGAACTCGATCTAAATTTGACAATAATATTACGGTGTACCAAGTTTGGATCAAATCGGATACTCCCTTCGAATGTTATCGTGCTCACCAACCAGTCAGACGGACGTACGGACATCGCTATATCGATTCTAAATTTCCTGAAACGGATTTGGTCCGAAGAGACCTAGAGTCTAAAACCGTTATTTCGATGAGGTAAGTTTTGGCGTATAATGATATATAACCTCTCCAGCCATATGGCTGACGGTATAAAAAATAGATACGTTACCCCACCATTTGTAACGAACTCGGAAATTTTCAAAAACGTCTGTTGAAGAATTGCCGCTCATATTTTTTTAGAATAGTGAATGTTGGATGGTACAGTTATTTAGAGATAGAGCCAATGCGAAAAGGTGGATGTGTATATCCAATTAAATTTGTAGTGTTTATTGCGAACTTCAAACACCAATTTTAAGATAATTCCGTGCTAAATTGGTGGCTAAACTCGGTAAAATACTTACTCGGCAAAATACGAAGATGTGGACTTGTATATGTAAATTACTTTCTTGGGATTTGAAACAACAGAGTAGCCAATATCAACAGGTAGAAAGAGTCAATTAAAAAATTGACCATAAGAATAGTTTTTTTGCAAAAATGTTCCCTAACTACTGGAAACACAAACTGCCAATTTTCAGAAAATTCTGTTTAAAATTATGACTAAAACACATTAAATCTGCCGGTGCAGTCATATGGGGGCTATATCAAAACGTAGACATGTTTGACCCATTCTCAATACCAAAAATTCTACTAACCTTAATATATTTGAACTAAGTTTTTGTACACCTTCGTCATTCTGTTCAGAAGCTTGAGTGATTTTCACAGGCGGACGGGCTTGATTAAATCGACATAACTGACATAGCTGATCAAAAATATATACACTATGTGGGATCAAAAATGTTTATTTCGAGGAGTTTAAAACGATATGACAAACTTAATATACTCTCAAAAGTATGGTGGAGGGTTAAAAATAAGGTAACTATCGATGTTATCGACATATTTATAAAAATACTATACAATATTTTACAAGGGCGGATCAATAATGATAGCTGTTAGCCGCGGAAGCGAAATTTTATCAGTTGCTGAAAATTAGGGTCTTTTGATATTGTCCAATCTAAGGAATAATTTTGTTTCCCGTCTTGTCCAATCCGATATTAGCAACTTTTGTTTAAGGCCATGTTGTTCATCACCTCCTCAGGGGCGACATTGACTCCAACTTTTTTTTTAAGGGACTTATCTTTGTTGTTCTTATCAATTTGGTCTACTACCAGCATATTTTTAGTTTTTCAGCACATCCATTGTCATATATCTATAGCATTTTCAGATTAAATGAAACCTTTTGCAATTCAAATGAAACTTTTTGCAGCGGGAATGAAACCTTTTGCAGTTGAATTGAAACCTTTTGCAGTGGAAATGAAACCTTTTGCAGTGGAAATGAAACCTTTTGCAGCGGGAATGAAACCTTTTGCAACCGAAATGAAACTTTTTGCAAATCAAATGAAACTTTTGGATTTTTAGAAGGAAAAATAACAAACAAATTTTATTTTTAGTAGGTTTAAAATTAAATCAACTAATTATAACTTATATATAGTTAAAGAGGAATTTTCTTTGATTATTAATATCTATGTTTTTTTAAAAAATTTTCTTAAAGCTTCCATAAAACACAAGTGTAGATGCAGAAAGATTGAAAAAAGTTTTTCAAGGTATTTTTTTCAAAGGACCCGAATTAGGTATCTTTTTATAATCTCCTCCATGGAAAGGAGGATATATTAAATTTGTCATTCGGTTTGTAACATCTCTAAATTTTCGTCGTAGACCCCATAAAGTATATATACCATCATGATCTTAGTTGATTTAATGATTCCCACTTATCTGTCTATTGAAATCACGACTGCTCTATCTCCATAATCAATAAAGCTGCGAAGTGGGAATCCTTTATTAGGCAATATTAATAGTATACAATAACTATAAGAAATTGTGGTAAAGCTTAATTTCACAATTCAGTCCTGACCATACCTATAGCAAAATTTGTTTAAATTTCTCTTTTTAGCGTTAAGCATTTGGAATTTAATAATATGGAAGCATTTTATATCAAATCAATAAAGAACCATTTGTTATTACAATAATTGAAAATTTAAGAAATAATATAAATAAATGTAGATATTTATAATCAATAAAAAATCCTCTTTGTCAATATATTAGTTATATTATTATTAATTATTAATTGATTCAATTTAAAAACTACTAAAAATAAAAATGTTTTGTTATTTTTCCTTCTATAAATTTAAAAGTTTCATTTGATTTGCAAAAAGTTTCATTTCGGTTGCAAATGGTTTCATTTCGGTTGCAAAAGGTTTCATTTCCGCTGCAAAAGGTTTCATTTCCACTGCAAAAGGTTTCATTTCCACTGCAAATGGTTTCAATTCCACTGCAAAAGGTTTCATTTCCGCTGCAAAAAGTTTCATTTGAATTGCAAAAGGTTTCATTTAATCTGAAAATGCTATATATACTTTTACATTAAATTTAATTTTCCTTAACTCTGCCAGAATTTGACATTTAGAATTACTGACCTCTTATACTTTACTCGATCAGATTTTTCTTTAGTGTTCTGAAAATATTAATGCTTTCTCATTATAGGGGGTATACAATGATCGGATTGGCAGAACTTTACTTGGTTTTTGCTTATTTCCATTAGAGCGCAAAATTTTATGTGAACACTAAGCTAATCGAAATCATATTATGACGCTGCTCCATTTTGCTGCTGCAATGTTCTGTTAAAAGCCAAAAGTAATTGACGTTGCTGCATGGGTTGGACGACGCCATGTTACATGCCTGCACAAGGGTGGCATTAGATACCCGATTGTGTGGTCTAGCTTCAGCTGCTGCTGCGGCTGATGTTGGCAGCAGATTTTTCTGGTGGCAATGGTGATGGCGATGGTGGCGATATAAAAGCGTTCAACTCTTTGAGTTTCTTTTGAGTCCGTTGCTTTTCAGAGTCTTGTGCAAGTGCAAATTCTATTTCGATTTCTTGGTACGAAGGGAAATATTCCGAATTGTTTTTGTAGTGCACTTTAAATTTGTTGAATTCGCCACTGTGCTGTATATTCTTTGTTGTGCGTATTCGTATTGGACGTTCTTTCGCATTGTACGGTGTTTCAATTGTATTGACTGATGCCTAGATTGGTTTAGCAACGTCGGTCCATTACTAATATTAACCCGCCAAAAAGGCAATATCGTCAACATATCAGATTAGTACTTTTTGGATTTTTTTTTGACTTTTCTCAAAAGAAAACACCCACACGTGTCGCATATATTCTACTATCTATCGTGTGTCCGGTTAGAACGAAGGCCAAAGTAATAGACTGTTGCCAATACATACGTATTTTGGAATTTTGAGTACATTCCAGCGCTGCTGCAGTTAACAAAAATGTACAAAGTGGTGGTAAGCATTCGACTGGATACTGGTAGCGACGTGCATTCCTAATGAAGTGAATGGCTATTGCCAATGTGTTTAGAACTCTATAAGAAGTGTTGTTGTTATTTCCAAGAAATTCAAGCGTAGCCAACAGTACTGGCTGCACCAGTTTGTTTTGAAAGAAAGAACATTCTGGAGGCTAATGTAAAACGAATAACAAATATCAAAAAGGCGATTAAATCGCACAACAAAGAAAGAATAATTGCAACAATAACAATAAAACTAGTGTGAGTGAACAAAAGTGGACATTCCATTAACCATGATTTGAAAAGCGTTACCAGCTGTTCTAAAGTGTAAACAATTTTAGAATGGTGCTATTGTAGACACTGAAACTGAATGACATCACTGAACTGTTAAAAAAGTTTAAAATTGTAGAATATCCAATAGTGCACCCCAATGGATTTTCACACACACATATACAAGATTTAATTCAGAAACAATATTTTAAACAAACCTAAACATAAATTTAGCGTCATTCGGTCAACCAATTTTTTTTTCCACAAAGTAGTAAACTTTAATCACAGGAAACCAGTTGAAAATGTGGGTGAGGTTTACAGTTTATAGGAAATATGGTGATACTGGCAACTACCTATATAGAACAGCTTTTTGGACATCTATATACATATATAAAAGAAAGTTGTGTTAGTTACTACGCATATAACTCAAGAAATGTACATGTTTTATATTGCATGTTTTTTTCCATTTTGATTTACTATTTTCGAATATACATTTGTAGGGTTTTTTATGTTATGTTAATTACTACCCTTACAATTCAAGAACGCCTGGACCGATTTCAACAATTCATACAATTACCAAATGGTATGATGGCAAAAAATATGCTAATAAAAAAGGTCAGAATAGAAGCCTATTTCTTTTGGAGATGATCGCCAAATGTTTAGGGGTTGAAATGGACCAAATACTGTAAAAATTTCGGATTTTGCAGTAGCTATACAGGTCGCAATTATAGACCAATCGCATGTAGCTAGAGTTTAGGGCGGGGAAGAAGCCTACCAATTTGGGTGGCCATCGGATAATATTTAGCGGGTAAAATAGACCATGTATTTTGTATTGAAAAAATTCAACATTTTTCATTAAACCGTGAATTTTTTAAATCCCGGCGAAATCACAAAGTCATGACAAGGTTACTTCTGACCTTTACATTGATGTTAACATCCAACAAATCGGATATATAGCAAAATATGTGCGATATATATGTCTATCAAAGAAGATATGCTTGAAAGATCTCTTATATGTCGAGAACGGCTGAACTGATTTCGACAGTTCTCATTAATTCAGAATGGCCTCTTGGCAGGAAAGAAAAAACGTCTAAAAAAAATCGCATAAAAATATCTCTCTGAAGATGAAAATATTGGTTTTGTAACATTTTCTCATATTTTTTCAATTGTGTCATATTTTTGGCATATTTTCATTTTGAATTAAACATTTGGTAATATTTCTACAGCTAACAAAACTAAGTAGTTAGGATATCAGGATATCATATACAGATCGCATTTATTGCCCGATCCTTACGAAATTTTGCATGGGGATAAGATGAGGGTCAGAATAGATGCCTACTCTTTTTGGAGACGATCGCTATATATTTAGGGGTTGAAATGGACCAAAAAATTGCAAATTGTCAGCAGGTCGTAATTATCGCCCTATCCTCACGCACATTTGAATGGGGGTTACCGGACATTGCAAAAGCCAAGCAGTTTTGGATGGCCATCCAAAAATATTCAATGTGTAAAGGAGTTTGCCAACTTTTGTAGACTAAATACGAAAATGTCCATTCCAGCGACATCTACCAATAAATTGGAAATGAGCAAATTCGTTTAAGTTGCTATTATCCGAAAATTAGAGAACGAAACATGATGGTTTTCTTTTATTATTTGTCACAATATCTTGTGGTGTTCTGTCGAGTATCTCGCCTATATAAACTGTATGGTTTATTATAGTGTTGTAGGGTATTCAACGGTCGGCCCCGCTCGACTGTAGCCTTTGCTTACTTGTTTTTTAATATTTTTATTGTTTTGAATTCTGAATGAATAATAATAAAAATGAAATAAGTGCGCAATACGATGTTAAATGACGATATTTCATATCTAAAATTGGCATCAAACTTTCAACTATAGGAAATACATCGTGCTTCAGCTGGAAGATGCGAACACATTTTAACAAACAAAAACGTTATGGGGCTCACTTAGAAACGTGGACGTGCTTCTTTCATATTGGGTCTGTAATCAGTGAAATACCGAATATAAAAGGCACAAAATAATAGAGTGAATTGGACATTTAGTAAGAGAAGAAATTCTATCCTTTCAGAAATTCTTCCTAAACTTTCAAGATATCTTAAATCGCTTTTGCAGGTTATGGTATGGGTCATAACCCAGATAAGGGTACAATCCGATTTCAAGTATATTTTACATTTCAACCCTATTTGTTCATGCTAATTTCGGTAATTTGAGAAGATGGTTTGCAAAAAACATTTTTGGACACTTTTTTAAATTTTTTGGCAGAAAACCATTTTACAGATAATTGTCCACATAGGCACATATTTAAGTATAGTCCTCCTCATTAGTATACCCGAAAGCCAACTCTACCAACTAAGGTGTGGTCAGAAAAGAAATTTTTGTATTCTATTAAATTTGTAACCCCCAAGAGAATATTGGTTGGGAACGTAGATTTGGGATGTACGTCTATATGAAATAAAATACGAAGTGTCAGTCGGAAATTGTATCAGAAAAAGAAACTAATTACGAATATTAGAAGGTAGCAAGGGACCGAACATTTGTTTTATCTTCATTGAATTATACTATAATGAAGAATATGGACTTTATGGGGACTCCAACGAACAAATTAAATTACAAAAAACTTGATTTCATTCATACGGTAATGAGTGTTATTTATCTTTGACTATTCTGAAATCATTCTACCCCTAATTATGAGTTGGAAAAAACTAAATACCACTTATCATGTGATTCTAAACATTGGGAATACAAATTCCAAATTACAGCTAATTTGAGTGGAAAATGTCATTACAATACCAACAATGGAGCTGATTTTTCACATGGGCTGTTATAGATTTTTATACCCTACACCACATAGTGGTAAGGGTATTATGTCTTTGTGCATTTGTTTGTAACATGGAGAAGGAAACGAGATAGACCCATAGTTACTTTTGAGAACCTTCATAGAATCACTTTCTGAGTCGATTTATGCATGTCAGTCCGTCCGTCCGTCTGTCCATGTATTCTTGTGAACAAAATGCAGGTCGCATTTATTATCCGATTGAGATGAAATTTTCCAAACAATTTTTTTTGGCCCAAGGACGAACCCTATTGAAATTGGTGAGAATTGGATCAAATTTAGATATAGCTCCCATATATATCTTCATCCGATTTCGGGTTAAATGTGCACCAAATGTCCACTATCAGTCCAAATTACCTGAATTTTGGCACACCCAACCGAGTTCGGCCTAGAAGCAAGTATATCAAATTTGAAGAAAATCGGTTCAGATATAGCTATAGCTCCCATATATATATTTCATCCGATTTGATCTTTAAGTCCCTCACATTCCTACTATGCACTCCACAACCGTAATATTTGGTACCAGGTATTAGATGGAGCACAGAAATAGCTGTTTTAAATTTTATCGAAATCGGTTCAGATTTAGATATAGCTTTCATATATATCTTCATCCGATTTCGGGTTAATTGTGCACCAAATGGCCGATATAAGTCCAAATGGACTGAATTTTAGTACATCGGACCAAATTCAGCCTAGAAGCAAGTATATCAAATTTAGTGAAAATCGGTTCAGATATAGATATAGCAACCATATATATGTTTCATCCGATTTAGTGTTTTAGTCCCTTACATTCGTAATATTCACTCCACAACCGTGATATTTGGTACCAGGTATTAGATGGAGCACAGGAATAGCTGTTTTAAATTTTACCGAAATCGGTTCAGATTTGGATATAGCTCCCATATATATCTTCATCCGATTTTGGGTGATTGACCACCAAATGGCCGTAATAGCATCAATTTTGGCAAATCCGACCGAAACCAGCTTAGAAGCAAGTACACTAATTTTAGTAAAAATCGGTTCAGATATAGCTATAGCTCCCATATATATCTTCATCCGATTTCGTGTTAATTGGGCATCAAATGGCCAATATCAGCCCAAATGGCATGCATTTTCGTACATAAGACCGAATTCAGTCTAGAAGCTAATACGTCAAATTTGGAGAAACCCGGTTCAGAGATAGCTATAGTTCGTAAAATGCACGATAGAATTAGATAGATTTTGATTTTGTACCAAGTATCTCATAGAGCTCTGAAATTCCCTGTTTAAACCTTTTTACGAGAGCTCTACTAAATATGCATAGTGGTGTAGGGTATCATATAGTCGGCCCCGCCCGAGTTTTGAGCTTTCCTTACTGGTTTATATCATAAAGGTTTTTAATACTTAAATTAAAGCCTATGACTATAATTTTTGCCATTAATATTTATTTGAATTTAAAAATTGCTATGGAGTTATTACTTATAATAAAAATTGTGCCGTTTACATAAGTCGGATCTGTGATTTATTATGCTTTAATAAATATGCACTAAAGACTAAAAGTACGGGCCGGAAACGCGGACCGGGCCATCTAGTGTTATTATAAATACACGATATACCAAAATCATTCTGATGCAAAATGTGGCCAAGGCCGAGATGTATTATTTTACGAAGGAAATGTTCTTGTTAAAGGTAGTGAACCAATATACACGATATTTTGACACCGGTTGTTGAACCCATTGTGAACTACAAATACCAAATTTTACAAAAATCCGTTAGAAAATGTTACTTATATGTCAAAATACCAAATAACCCAAGGTACTATTATATTGGAACTATATGCAAATGTGGACCTATTTATACAATGTTCTGCTACCGGAACTATACCCCATTACTAACTACAG